GAGGGTGCTGCCGTGAGCACGCGCTCGTGCGACGCCTCAGCTGGGGGAGGGGGGGGTCGTCGTGCGTCCTCGTGCACCCCCCGTGCGTCCTCGTGTGCCCTCATGCACGCTTGGGCACCCCCCCGTGCGTCCTCGTGCGTCCTCGTGCACGCTCGTAGGTCCTTGTGCGTCCTCCTGCAGCCTCGTGCACGCTCGTGCGGCCTCGTGTGGCCTCGTGCACGCTTGTGCACGCTTGTGCAGCCTCGTGCGGCTGCGGGCACACTCGTGTGCCCTCATGCGTCCTCCTGCATCCTCGTGCACGCTTGTGCAGCCTCGTGCGTCCTTATGCGTCCTTACGTGTCCTCGTGCATCCTCGTGCGTCCTCGTGCGTCCTCGTGCATGCTTGTGCAGCCTCGCTTGTCCTTGTGCAGCCCCATGCAGGCTCCTGTGCAACCTTGGGCACTCTTGTGCACCCCCGTGCGTCCTCGTGCATCCTTGTGCAGGCTCGTAGGTCCTTGTGCGTCCTCCTGCAGCCTCCTGCAGCCTCGTGCAGCCTCGTGCACCCTCGTGCACGCTTGCTTGTCCTTGTGCACCCTCGTGCACCCTTGTGCACCTCTCTGTGCCCTCGTGCGGCCCAATTTTTCCTCGTGCATCCTCGTGCACCCTTGTGCATCCTCGTGCACCCTCGTGCACCCTCGTTTATCCTTCTGCACCCTCACTTGTGCTCATGCGGCCTTGTGCACACCCGTGCGCCCTCGTGCAGCCCCGTTTGGCCTCGTGCGCCCTCGTGCACCCTCGTTTGTCCTTGTGCACCCTCGTTTGTCTTCTTGCACCCTCATGCACTCTTGTGCGGCCTTGTGCACCCTTGTTTGTCCTCGTGCACCCTCGTGCACCCTTGTGCACCCTCGTGCAGCCCCGTTTGACCTCATGCACTCTCGTTTGTCCTTGTGCACCCTCCTCCGGCCTCGTGCACCCTCGTTTGTCCTCGTGCACCCTCGTGCACCCTCGTTTGTCCTGGTGCACGCTTGCGCACCCTCGTCTGTCCTCGTGCACGCTTGTGCACCCCTGTGCCCCCTCGTTTGTCCTCGTGCGCCCTCGTGCACTCTCGTTCCTCCTCGTGCCCCCCCGCACGCCCTCGTGCCCCCTCGTTTGTCCTCGTGCACCCTCGTGCACCCTCGTTTGTCCTGGTGCACGCTTGCGCACCCTCGTCTGTCCTCGTGCACGCTTGTGCACCCCTGTGCCCCCTCGTTTGTCCTCGTGCGCCCTCGTGCACTCTCGTTCCTCCTCGTGGGCGTATTCCCCCCCTTCCTCCCCCCTCAATTCCCGCCGATAGAAGTAACTGAAGTTGGAGACGATGACGGGGACGGGGAGGGAGATGGTGAGGACCCCGGCGATGGCGCAGAGGGACCCCACCAGCTTCCCCCCAACGGTGACGGGGGCCATGTCACCGTAACCCACCGTGGTCATGGTGACCACGGCCCACCAAAAAGCCTGAGGGATGGAGGTGAACGAGGTGGCGGCGTCTTCGGCCTCGGCGAAGTAGACGGCGCTGGAGAAGAGGACGACGCCGATGAGGAGGAAGAAGATGAGTAAACCCAATTCCCTCATGCTGGCGCGAAGGGTTTGTCCTAAAATCTGTAAACCCGTCGAATGCCGGGATAATTTGAAGACCCTGAAGACCCGCACCAAGCGGATGACGCGGAGGATGGCCAAGGACATGGCGGGTTGGCCGACGCCGCGTTGACGTGCCAACTCGGTCCCCAAAGCGACGAAATACGGGACGATGGCGATCAAATCGATGAGGTTCATGGCGTTACGGAAGAAGGCGGTTTTGCTCGGGCTGGCTAAAAGACGGACCAGGAGCTCCAAGGAGAACCAACAGATGCAGATGGTTTCCACCACGAAGAAAGGATCGGTCAAACCGCCCCGGGGTGATGGTGGGGAGGAGGCGTTGATGTTGGTGGAGATGGGTGGTGGGGTCTGGGGATGGAGATAGGGAGGGGTGAGGGGGTTAGGGGATGGGTGGGGTGGAGGCCATGGGGTGGTGGAGGGGGTTAGAGCCCACCCAGACCCCTGGGTCCACCACCCACCATGGGTTAATGGGGGTTAGAGCCCACCCAGACGCTTGGGTGCCCTCCCTGGGTGGTGGAGGGGGATTAGAGACCACCCAGTATGGGTTAATGGGGGTTAGAGCCCACCCAGACGCTTGGGTGCCCTCCCTGGGGTGGCGGAGGGGGGTTAGAGCCCACCTAGAGACTTGGGTCCACCACCCAGTATGGGTTAATGGGGGGTAGAGCCCACCTGGACACCTGGGTCCTGGGGTTGGGACTGAGGAGGAGGAGGAGGAGGAAGACCAGGAGGCCGTAGGGGGCCAGAGGTGGTGGTGATGGTGGTGAAGAAGGAAAAAGAAGAGGAGGAGGAGGAGAATGAGAAAGAGAAGAAATCAGAAAAGAAGGAGGAGGAGGAGGAAGAAGAGGATGACAAGGAATAGCAGGAAAAGGAGAAAATCGATGAAGATGAGGAGGTAGGAAGAGAAGGAGGAGGAGGAAGAGGAGGAGGAAGGAGAAAAAGACTAAGGTAATGAGAAAGAAGAGAAATGGGCGGATGAAGAAGAATAGAGGAACGATGATGATGATGAGAAGAAAGATGAGAAGAAGAAAGGTGAGAAGAATGATGATGAGGATGAAGCTGCGAAGAAGGAAATGATGAGAATGATGAGGAGGATGATGAGCAGAGGAAGAAGAAGGATGATGAGAATGATGAGGATGACAGTGATGAGGAAGAGACAGAGGAAAATGATGAAGACGTAGAGATTGAGGTTGAGAAGGAAGAACGAGAAAAGCAAGAAAGGTGGAGGAGATGGAGAAGGGTGTGAGGAAGGTGATGAAGATGACGATAATAACGATGATGATGATGATAAAAAGAAGATGAAGAAGAGAAACGAAGAGGATAAAAAGGGTGATGAAGATGATGGCGATGAGAAGGTTGAGAAAAAGGGTGACGATGAAGAGGATGAGGTTGGGGAAGAGAAGGAAAAAGAGGAGATTGGGATGGAGAAGGATGACGATGAAGAGGATGAAGATTGCGATGATGAAGATGATGGTGAGGACCCACAAGGATGAGGAAGATTTGGGGGTGACTCATTTGCAGTGAGGGCTCCCTGCCAGGCTGGGACTGGGGCAGGATCTCCAGGCAGGAGGAAGAGGAGGAGGAGGAAGAGGAGGAGGAAGATGATGATGAGATTGACAAAAAGGATGAAGATGAGGAAGAGAAATACGAAGGTGAAGATGACGATGAGAAAAACGATGAGGAAAACTATAATAAAAAATAGAGTAGAGGGGAATGTGAAGAAGAATGATGAAGATAGTGGTGATGATGATGATGATGACGACGACGATGATGAGAGCAAGAAACGGAAGAGGAGGATGGTGAGGATGATGAAGGAAAGGCAGAATAGAAGGAAGAGAATGAAGATGAGGAAGAGGAGGTTGAAAAGAAGAAGAAGGATGACGAAATGAGAATAAGGAGAAAAAAGAGGAGGAAGAGGAGGAGGAGCAGGAGGTTGGGGTGACTCATCTGGGGGGCTCCTCACTGGGGCAGGAGGAAGATGAGGAGGAGGAGGAGGAGAATGATGATGTTGAGGATGATGAGAATGAGGCTGAAGACGGTGAGAATGATGAGGACGGTGAGGATGATGATGAAAGGTGGTGAGGATGAGGATGGTGAGAATGAGGATGGTGAGAATGAGGATGCGGATGGTGACGATGATGAAGAGGAAGATGATGAGAGTCAGGATGGTGAGGAGGAGGATGATGATGAAGGTGGTAAAGATGAGAATGAGGATCGTGAGGTTGAGGATGGTGAGGATGAGGATGGGGACGGTGAGAGTGATGAGGATGAGAATGGCGAGCGTGGTGAGGATGAAGATGAGAATGGTGAGGATGAGAATGGTGAGGATGATGAAGAAGGTGAGGGTAAGGAGGATGAGGATGGTAAGAATGAGAACGGGGATGAGAGTGGTGAGGATGAGGATGGTGAGGATGAGAATGAGGATGAGGAAGATGGTGAGGATGAGGAGGATGAGGGTGAGGAGGGTGAGGATGGTGGAGCTGAGGATCACAAAGATGAGGGTCATCAGGATGAGGATGGGGAGGATGAGGAGGGTGAGGCTGAGGATACCGAGGATGGGGAGGATGAGGATGGTGAGGACGAAGGCCCCCGCCATTGCCTGCGACTCACCTGAGTGGACCCCTCCCCTCCGGCCCGAAACTGGGGCAGGGTCTCCAAGCAGAAGACCACGATGGAGACGAGGATGACGAGGACGGAGAGCAAGGCCACGGCGCGGGCAGCCGGCGAACTCTCGGGGTGCTCACACAACAACCACGCCTGCCGTTGTAACCTTCCACCGGGCAAGGGTTGGGCCACCTCCACCCCGAAGCCTTCGGCCTCGCGGAGTCTTCCTTCCGCTTCGGCGCCCAACTGGTAGAAGCGTAACTCTTCCAAGAAAACATCTAAGGGGACGTCGGGCGGGCGGCGGAGTCTTCCGCCGGATTGGTAGTAGTAGAGGACGGCGCCGAAGGCTCCGCGGTGGCGGTCGAAGAAGTACTCGCGGCGTTGGGGGTCAAAGTACCGTCGGCGCCGGCGGGGGGCACCCAAAAGGGTGTCGGGGAACCGGAGGAGGGTCCTTCCGAAGGTTTCGAACCGACGTCCC